GATTATTTGTTCCATAGAACTAATAAAGGCCATTATTTTAGCCATAAATAGTCTAAAAAGAACTCACCTTACCAATGTTGAACATGCCATATGCTTTTCCATGTCAAATTTCCTATACTAACAAAGAATTGATTTTAAAAAGAACCATAAAGTCATATATTGTTCATAACACTCCCATCTTTCCAATATTGTTTCCTTTTAAACTTCTAGTGAATACATTTATATTTTTATACCTCCATATTGTACCTTATAATTATCTTTTTTAGAGATTTGACAACATAATTAGATGGTCATAATTAATATGATCAAACTCCAATCAACTAGTAATGCTTTTTTATGAAAGTATTTTATTAGAACTTAAATTCATCCAATATTTATTTAATGGCTATCTAACTAAAGATGAAAATTATACCTAACACAACTTACCACAATAATATTATGGTAGTTAAAAAAACCATACAAGCTATAACCAATCAACTTAATCAAATCTTTAACGAGCTCAAACAAATTGATTGGGTACTATTTTTAGCTAGTTTCTATATGACAATTCTTAGGATATACTTTCATGAAAAAAATCCAATAAAAATATTTAGAAGTTCTTATCCTTATCTTGGGTATCATTTATCTATATAATATGTACCATAATAAGCTCATCCTAATTTGGACATAATCACCCATGAGGTACCACATACCTCATAAGTTTATAAGGAGTCCCAATCAAATGACTTAGCCACCTTATTTACAACCAACTCAACCTGTATTTAGGTGGTCAAGTTTCTTATAATATACTTTTTAACAAGAAAATTTTAATTTTCGTATACCTTTAGGACCTGTTATTGACTAACCAAAAAATATAAAGAATTGGTAAGGTTAAATTAGCCCAACACTTAAAGGAAACAGGGTTGGATGTTGGATATACAACCATACTTGTATATAATCATCCATACCATTAATGGATTGGCATGCTATATTCACTTCTTAAAAAAATCATGATAGCTGACTTCAAATAATTTTATAGGGAGGATAAATAGTTAACAAGGGACTTCAACAAGTATGCTAATCAATGTGGAAATCATACTGCTAATACCTTTGTGAAACTACTATTATTTGGTTCAGAATAAATTATGACTATCTTTTACTAGTCTACTATAATACCTCTTAACTTTATTTATAGTTGAAAAGAAATGGATTTTTTTATGATTATTTTTATAGAATTGTACTATAGGTAACACTAGCTCATTTAGTTATGATGGTGTAAGACACAAAAAAATATGTAGAAAGTTATACCTTTTATTTCAAAACTCTAAAAACTAAGTACTTTTTACTCATAATAGAGTAAGAATGCATTATGTTAATTCTAGAAGGAATGTGGTAAAATATCAAAAAATGATTTATAGGAATTAAATATTCAAATATTTACAACCTTATAGATAACATTGCTCAATATAAAAAGATATTATAAAAACAAGCAAAAACAAAAGCTACTTAGAGGAACATACCTAATTAACTACTTGAATGTGGTCACGATGACACATTTAATGGTTGATTTAAACTCTTATAAGTAGTTTGATGAAGTTCAACGGTAATTGATATTAGTAGTAGAATTAAAAAAAATCCACTTGAGATTTTTATATTAAGAAAGTCCAAATAAACCAATAAAACCTATTAATAAATAAATAAAAGTGACAAAAAATAGGTAATAAAAATAAAAAAATACCCGTGTGACATCGAAAGAACTTAATACATATTTGACCAATTGATGTGATGAGGAATGATCAACCTCCTTTAAAACCATATAATCCATATTACTAAGAAAATATAAAGGAAAAAAAAATTATAAGCGACATGCCTCATGGAAACATGAAAGTAATAATTATTTCATGTTTAGGAATCATGTTTAGAAGGCATTAAAAGCTAGGCTTTTGCTTCTTCTTTATTTTTTTTTAATAAAAATAAAGGCTTATAATGACCTAATCCCAAAGGTAATGACACGATCAAAGAGTTTGATGTCTTATCTCAAGTGCAGAAGTATCGAAATAATAAATAATACGACAAGACCAAGGTCGAATCACATGGGGGTTAACTATATAAATTATAAATAAAGAAATAGATAATAATAGAAAAGGAGTTGGATAGAACTTTGAGATGTGATATTAATATAAGGATTAAATAAGGATAAAATAATTGTGAAGGATAGAGGATCCATTAATGGTATTTCAAACAAGTATAACATAAATTCTTTTTATTACTCAATTGGAAACCACATACAAAGAAGGTTCCAATCGGATTATAAATTATTAACATGATTACATTATTTATTTTATTTGAATAATGCTAATACTTGTAAATGTTGTTAGGTACTCATGATGCTAACTTACATTAACAACAAATCAAATTCTTTTCATGGCACATGTGTCGGTTATACCATACGGTTGAGCTATGAAAGTATCAAGTATTTGTTGTACCAGGGTTATACAACATAAATATAGATTAACCATTTAATAAATAAAGTATTATAAGTGAACAAGATAACAAATACAAAATATATTAGTATCAAACATTAAAGTCCATATTGAGTTTATACAATACTCATTCTTACACCATTAATGTAACTTTTTCATATTGACATAATAAACTTAACTAAATATAATGAAAGAAGAAAACATAAATAAACAAGATAAGAACATAAATAAGATATAAGTTAACTAAGTAAAGGAAATGAAATGAAAAGCATAAACAAGAGATTAATATAAGCAAAACTTAAACATTACAAAAATATAAAGAAAGAGAGTAAGAATATGATCTTGATCTGAAAATCAAGATGCTTAAATGCATGGCAAATGCCTTCTTTTATAGGCTAAAATTTAAAACTATTGATTTGATAACTAATTATTAAGTGGGTGATCACATCTTGACTTGGTGAAAATTTTTATCTTTTTAACTGAATAAAATATCATTGATAATATCAGAATTTAAAATATAGTTTTTATGAAAGTTTTAGAAAATTGTCGTAGACTTCCAAAAAAAAAAAATCGATGCATTTGGACTTCTAGAACTCAAGATATGAGCTGAACACTGAACAATGTTTAGGCTATATGATAGATTCCAACTTCTCTATTGTTGTTATAATTTGAACTTGAAAATGACCTTTTTGAATTTTGAACTCTCATGAAAGTTTTAGGTCTATGTTTTAGCTTTCCATCAATATTGAGCAGGCCTAATTCCAAGTTCTCTAACTCCAGTTATGATTTAATAACTGAATAGTTTTCCAATTTGGACTGAACTAGCATATCTTTTCTAAGCTTAACCCTCTCTTTGTTTTTTTTTATTTAATTTTAGTAGTTAAACTCATCAATCAAATATTGAGCAGACCTAATTCCAAGTTCTATAACTCCAGTTATGATTTAATAACTGAATAGTTTTCCAATTTGGACTGAACTAGCATATCTTTTCTAAGCTTAACCCTCTCTTTGTTTGTTTATTTTTTTTAATTTTAGTAGTTAAACTCATCAATCAATCCTTTCATTTATGTGATAGACCCATATTTAAGATGAACATTTACTATAAATTAAATGTATCTTATATTATTAGACATGTTATTATAAAACATGCTTTAGTTAAGGAGTAATTAATATTTCAAGTGCAAAATGATGTTATCAAACTTTCATAAAAATGCATTTTTAAGTACCAATCAGGCAACAAAAACAATGGTTTCTCTTAAACTAGAAGGATTTGTTAATAAAGAAAAAACACAGCTGACTAGGCATGATTGATCATGATAGAGATTGAAATTGGTCATTGATACTATTATATGCAAAAGGTATATCAATCATTATAAGAAAAAGAATCAACATAAAAAATCTTGAAAATCCTTTTTATAAGGTATATAGGTGCCATACTTGTGATATAATTCTACTTAAAGGAAAAGATTTAGGAAGAAAACTAAAAAGATTAAGCAACTAAAGTCATCTATAGGTCTGAAAGTTTATTGACTCGAGAAATTGAGAAAAAAGTAGTAGAATTGGCCTATTTTTTACATGTACCAATCAAAGTATTTTGAAATAAACCGAAGCACTTTTCTTAGTTGGAGGTAAAAAACAAAAAAATCCTCTTTTTTTTTTCTATAACATAACATAACTTAAATTTATATATCATACTGATGAACTAAAGAAGGTGTATATTATATATTGGAATATATACAAAAAAACAAAAGAATTCAAAACACAAAACTTGTTTTTTTCTACAAACTTTTTTTATGCATATATAAATTCATAAAATTCAAGGACTAACCACTGACTCACAAATAAAAAAAAAGGGAATAAATTCGCAGGTTCAAAGCTTTCTATTCTAAATTTAACATCTAATATTGGAAGAAAACTTATGCTTGATAGAAATATTAGATTGTATAGAGTTGACAAATGAAGTGGATTCATTAAAAATTCATAAATGAAAAAATGAAAAAAAAAAGCATTCATTTCCCTTCTATATCTTACGTCAATAGTATTTTTTCCCAGTATCCATTGTTTATGGCTTGGACTACTGGGATATCTAATCTCATTCGCTCTCTTAGCTTTGGTCTCTCAGTGTCAATTTCGGCCCATCAAAATGCTTTCACTATTGGTGTTCTTTCTAATCTTTATTCATTTCACCGCTCCACCAGAAATTCCCTTTGCCCATACCATACTCCAGCTTGGTAGTTTCCATAGCCTGTCCAGGTTTGAGCCTTGAGATTTGATTGCAGACTTAAAAAGCCTCCTACAGATACTTTACACCCAATCATTTTGGATAACGTTTGTATACTCTGTATTACCGTGACTGCTGACATAGAGTTAGTTGATGCTTATTCCCCAAATACTGTCATTGCTTCTTCTCTAGGAAAAGAAGTTCACGACCTATAGGCCTTCTACCTCCACACGACATTGTTCCGTCAAGCTTTTGCCTATTGTAGAAAATTCTCCACTATTGCCTCCCGTGGGAGTCTGGGCCATGTCTGAGTCCTAGTGTAGCTGATCATCCTCTCAGACTAGCTAATGATAATTGCCTTGGTAAGTTATTGCCTCACCAACTAGCTAATCAAACGCGAGCCCCTCCTCGGGCGGATTCCTCCTTTTGCTCCTCATCTTACAAGGTATTAGCAGCCATTTTCAGCTGTGGTTCCCCTTCCAAGGGCAAGTTCTTACGTGTTACTCACTCGTCCGCCACTTGAAACACCAGTTCCCATCTGACTTGCATGTGTTAAGCTAATAAGCCTATGGGTATTGAGGTTCTACAAACGGTACTTCTTGATACTGTATTTGAAGCAGTTGTTCGAATTCCTTATGATATGCAACTAAAACAAGTTCTTGCTAATGGTAAAATGAGAGCTTTGAATGTGGGGTCTATTCTTATTTTAACCGAGGGGTTTGAATTAGCCCTTCCTTATCTTATTTTGCTAGAGATGAAAGAAAAGATAGGTAATCTCTTTTTTTAGAGTTATCGCCCCACTAAAAAAATATATTCTTGTGATAGATCCTGTTCCTGGTAAAAAATATAGTGAAATCACCTTTCTAGTTCTTTTTCTGGACCCTGTTGCTAAGAAGGAAGCTCACTTCTTAAAATATCCCATATATGTAGGCGGGAATAGGGGAAGGAATAGGTATTGTTAGTGCAGATAAGCAATAAATTAGGGTTTATCAGGACCAATGCTACGAGCTTCCGGAGTAGGATGGAATCTTCATAAAGTTGATCATTATAAATGTTATGACGAATTTGATTGGGGCGTCCAGTGGAAAAAAGAAGGGGATTTCTTAGCTCATTATTTAGTCCGAATTGGTGAAATGATGAAATCCGTAAAAATTATTCAACAAGCTTTAGAAGGGATTCTAGGGGGGCCTTATGAAAATTTAAAAACTCAAAGTTTTGAAAATAAAGGAAAAAGAAAAACTCTCTAAGTATGACCTGATCGACCCAATCAATATGTATAGTAGAGTTAAATGGATTCCTACTTCAATTATTGGATCTCTTTTCTCAACTAGTTAAGAGGAGTCATGAAAAGAACATGTTCAAAATCACGATCAATTCCCTTTTCAAATCCTGTTGCAGCTGCATGAGCCTTTCTCGCTACCATAAATGACCTACGAATATGAAGAACTTGAGAATAAAATGATAGGTAGCTGGACTTCTAGGAGAGACATAGCTGACTATATTGATCTCGGTAGCTATGCCATTTACGGAATTTAATGAACCTAAAGGCGCATGAGTCATATATTCCACAGAACGTCGTTTTTGCCAAGGTTGTATGTCTTTTTTCAACCTACTTAAGTCCAAACCATTTGGATCTCTTAGAGATTCTAACCAAAGAGCGCGTAGATCCCAAAAACGCATAGTTTCTCCTCAAAAAATAACTTCTCCAGTTGGCAAACACATTAAATATTTACATAAGCTGGTAGGTCCTTGAGCAGATCCCACATTAGCCCCAAGATGTTGATTTCTAACTAGAAAAGTAAAAGCTTGAGCTTGAGAAGCTTCTGGTCCAGCGGGCTCGTAAAACTCACTTGATAAGCGGTATTATTGAACCAGACAAAACAACAAGCAATGAAACCAAAAAAAAATAAAGTGCCAAAACTATAAGATAAATAAACCTCCTCGAACCATACAAGTGCATGGCAAGCCCATGCAAAGTGTTTTGTAAAGATATGCTAGATTCCACCAAGTATACAAATGGAACCTAACCATACATGCCCCCCCTTTCCACCCTACGTTTTGGTCCTAAGAATGCTGGTTTTAAGAATGAGTGATTGCCCTTCTCCGACCCTTATTGCCCAACCTGAGAGTGGACAACTAATGTGTTCCTCTTATTGAATAGGGTTCTATGGTCGGTCTGTGACCCCAAAGGTGTCCTTGGGGCGATCTTGTAGTTCTACGGGGTGGAGACGATGGGTTCGGTCTATGGATTTTCCTTTTTTTTTTTCCAGCATTTCACTAAAGGAGGGTTGAAGGAGGATAGTGCATCAAGCTATTCGCAAGGGCCAACTTGATCCTCTTCCCCAGGGATCCCAGATAAGGAAACCCTAGGAGAGTCGCCGAGTCCAACTATCGTCTATATATGATCCATACTAGATCTGAACAACTGCCCATCCTACCTACTTTATGTTCTTGACAGCCTATCCTTGTCTCCATAGAGTCTTTCAGTGGCATGTTTAATTCCTTTTCCCCATTACTTAGAAAAAGTGAGCCACCAATTCAGGTATAAGATACTATCATTACTGTTGGACAATTAAACATCCGACATGTAATCGCAATAATCCAATGACATTGAATGATATAAACATCAAACATAACAAAAGTTATCCAAACTCAATGATGATGATGATGAATTGACCATTAATCTTTATCATTCTTTAAATTTAGAGAAAAGGTGGTATTAACATTAGTTAATCAATATATAATTAAAAATGATGTAATATCTAAATACACAAGTGAGAAAAGATGAAGTTAGACCATATAACATGCTAAGAGAATATGTCTTAGGATTAGAAAAAACTAATACTTTAGTAAAAAATCAATAATGACAAGCATCTATCAGATTGTTAACATGTGGTGCTAAAGATCAGTCACTTATGAGATTAGTCTAGACAAGGTTAAGCCTAATCTTACATTAAAATAGGCTAATAGTATCATATAATGGTTGATTTTTTTACTAATAACACTACAAGATTTAACAGTTTTACTGGCGGATAAAATCCATCAGTATGAGATTCAGACTTCATCGATAATTTTTTTACTAACTAAATCATCGATGGAAAGTGTCCGTCGGCATACTTTTCATTGGTAATACTACATTCCGTCGCTTAGTCTGTCGATAAAAATTACATATAATTTTTTTTTGCTAGAAATATACTGATGGATATATTCTGTCGGAAATAGTGACATTTCCAGTAAATATGTTGTATCTCTCTGTAAAATGCTGATGGACGCTATCTGCCGATGAAACCGTTAGTGATTGTGGCATTTCCAGTAAATATTCTTTAACTCTCTATGAAATGCCGATGGATACATTCTGTGTGTAAATTTGTTGGTGGGTATTTTTAAATTTCTTTTAGAAAAATTATTTAGAATAAATAATATAAAATTATGTAAATTAATAGTAAAAAAACCAATTATGCAAATAAATTTTATTAAACATCAAAAATAAAAAATAAATTTAAATAATATTCATTACAAATTAAATATGTTTCCAAAAAAATATTAAATTCGCACAATGGCGGAGCTAGAGGAGGTGGGGGAGGACAAATAGGCTGCTTGTTCCTGGAACCATGCAGCCAAAAAGGAAGCGCACATATATCACCACTCTGTGATGCCACGTTCATGACCATTTAGTGAAGTTGTTCATAATTTGACAAGAGTTGCTCATATTTATCGGTGAGATGAGCCATATGAGCCATGTTTTGTTTATAGTTCACCGATAGGTGCTTGTATTTTTTGGTGAGATGAGCCATATGTTGTTGAAAGATCACGCACTCCTTAGATTGGGTTCTCGATACTAATTGGGAGCTTCCAATGGTTGAGACACTAGAAACCGCTCGCAAGTTCTTAGCTGTAGTGTTGGAGAGCTCGTATACCTAATTTTTATTGGGTCCATCGAACGATCCTACCTCTATCCATAAATCCGGATCAAAATCTGGATGGGTCGAAGGATTGCCCCCATATCTCTCCCTCAAGCGGCTATTATAGGTCTCCTGAAAATAAAAAAAGAAATCATCATATTCAATTCAATCAAAATAATAACTTACAAAATAAAATGATGAACAAACATACTACAAGGTGTTAAGTGCGGTTGTCAACAAACTGTTGCACCCTTTTTTAACGGTCTTAACTCCGTATGTGCATCTCAACAAACAACTCTATTGGTCTTGGCTCACGTCAAAGAGACGTAGCATGTAAGGAAAAAAATTAATTAAGTAACAACAAATTATTTAACTATATATTTTATTTAAATTAATCTTACTAACCGTTTTGTATGTGCAGCAAACGAAACAGAGCCGTTGGTGTGTGTTGCCACTGAACCATGAATTGGTCAGTACCAGTTGCCAGCACCGGACTGTGAGCGTCGTGTGAATCGCTCAGACGTCACATGCTCAATATATTGTTGCTATATATCCCTCTTGTGTTTTTTTTTTCTCCTTTTTTGGTGCTTCATATAAAAAATCACGCAACCTACTTCTATTGTGAGAAATTAGATTTTAAAACATATATTTTTTTTAAATATTGTATTGTTTTTTATGTTACCTATTTGTTGCGTGATTTTCTCACACCTTCCTCACAACAATGTCATGTGTACTGTTTTAGGTGAATTTGTCATGTGTATAAATAATTAATTTTAAATAAAAATAATAATTTATTTATAATTATATTAATAATTTATTAAAAATAAACTGAAAATTATAAATTAACACCAACCTTAAATTTTTCAAACCATGCATCGATTTGAGGTATCCATTCAGAATGTCTAAATACCTGACTCCATTGAAATAAGAGAATCTTCATCGACGATTTAAACATTGATGATATTATTCGGATGACCTCAATGTTTGTGAACCTAAAAATAAATTAAATTAATGAAATATTGATTAATTGTTCATAAATTATGTTATAATTAAAAAAAACTAAAAATGAAACAGGCTTACATTGAAAGGTAGTCTTTTCACTGTGCCTTGTACTTGTAGGTGAATTGATTTCCCTATGAAGGTACCCCGTCTCTGCACTATGAAACCGCCTTAGAAGAGGTAACATCGATAGATGGCGCATGTGACTCTTCTTAATGGAAACTTAAGGATATGTCATCCTTGCTACTAGAAGAACTACTCTTCTTAATGGAAACTTAAGGATATATCATCCTTGCTACTAGAAGAACTAGCTGCGACCCTATGCTAGCAACGAGCTGTTGATTTTATTTTATACATTTACATAATTTTATATGAATAATTAAATAATTAAATTCGATTGTTAAAAAAAAATAGTAGCATCTCCCCTATACTGGAAACTAATCAAAGTTTTCAAACCTGCAAATATTGACAACAGCTACAACCAATTAGCCCCATTCAAAAATCTTATATTTAACCTAACATCTAACAATTAAAATTGTTAGAAATAATTAACCACATATCATGCAATAATAGAGTAAAATTGAGAGAAAATAATTAAATTTATTTCTACATATTTAGTTACTAATTACAAGGTAAATTCAACAATAACAATTAAAATTCAACAAAGTATTCAATTATTATGGCAATACAAACAATAAAATATATTGAATAAATTTAAAAAAACTATAGACTAACAATTACAATTAATGGAAATAATTAAACACTTATCATGCAATAATAGAGTAAAATTGAGAGAAAATAATGAAATTTATTCCTAGATATTCAATTATTAATTACAAGGTAAATTCAACAATAACAATTAAAATTGAACAAAGTATTCAATTATTATGACAATACAAACAACAAAATATATTGAATAAATTAAAAAAAAAACTATAGACTAACAATTATAATTAATGGAAATAATTAATCATTTATCATGCAATACTAGAGTAAAATTCAGAGAAAATAAAGAAATTTATTCCTAGACATTCAATTCTTAATGAAAAGGTAAATTCAACAATAACAATTAAAATTCAACAAAGTATTCAATTATTATGACAATACAAACAACAAAATATATTGAATAAATTAAAAAAAATATAGAGTTTATGAATAAAAAATGCTTATCTTAATAATGTGTTTATTTCAAGAGTTTATTTACATTATAAAAATACATCAACACAAAAATAACAATAGCTAAAACAAAGAAAAAAAATCTTAAAGTAAAATGAAGTAGAGGAAATACATATCTTTTAATTTACTGAAGATTTAAGTAAAGATGACAAGCTAAACAAACAAAAGATTTGAAGGGAATAAGGAAAAAAAGTGAAAATGAAAGATTGATAACGGAATAGATGAAAAAATGAATTGAAGGGGCGGTTACTAGAATTTATAGCACAATTTTACCAATGAACTCACCGATGGGTATTTAAATAATATTAATTTTAATTATTCTGTTAGTGATGTTTCAAAAATCTATCGGTAAATTTTGAATTTCACATGAGAATTTTTAATTACCTTCTATATTTTTTGCAGTCCATTGATAATTTCATTGGCAATTGCACACGGTTAGAGATGCATTTAATACCCTGCCCTTTGAAATTTACTCCGTTCGTCTTTGATTTTGTCAATGATTATGAACTGTAAACAAATCCTGATAGACTATATCCGTCTGCAAAGTCATCAGTGATTGTGACATTTCCACCTCTTTCTGTGAAATGCCGACAAACTATATCTGTCTGTAAAGACATTGGTGATTGTGGCATTTACAGTAAATATGTTTCAATTCTCTGTGAAATGTCGATGGTTGTTAGTCTGTCTGTAAAGTTGTCAGTGATTGACATTTGCAGTAAATAATTTTTAACCCTCTGTGAAATGCCAATGAACTTTATTCTGTCGGTATGGATGTCGGTGAGAGTGCACTGTTTAAGAAAGATTATGTTTGTATTAC